AGCGTCCAAGCAAATTCTCAGAAAATGCAATTTTTACGCGCATTCGAGTCACTGCAAAAGCAGGAGCTCATATGAACCATTCAAGGCCATAGAATTCAACCCTAAACTCTCACATACCGTGCTTTGAGAGGTCGAGTGGAGGAGGGAGTACGGTACGGAAGGAGTTTAAAATTCGAATTCTCAATCATGCTTGAGCCTTGTGAGGTGCCACTTGAGCAAAGTATTACATGAACTTCCATTTGGTTCGTAACAAAAGGTACCCGAAAAGGTCACAGGATCAAGGTAGCGCTCAAGCAAACCAATGGTATTCTCATGTGAATACCGATTTCTGAAAGTCTATAAACCACTGTAGAACCGGCAATCTTGAGTCATTGGAACTCGTAAAACTAATGCTAAACCTTCGAACAATACCGACTCGAAGAGGTCGAGTGGAGAAAGGAGTACGGTATGGGCTCAAGTTTAACGCTCCAGCTCTCAGCTACGAGTAGACCATATGAGCTGCCGCTTGGGTAATGGCTAAGGGACCCCTCAAGGTCAACTGCCCAGACACCCCCGTTCACCCCGCTCAAAGTCGAGAACGATTTTGCCTACCTGTCCACCAGATTCGCTGACATTTGGCTTCTCATCTGATCTTGCAACTGACTGCGCTTGCGGAGGAGTTCCGATTTGCTGTGTCAACGGAGCTACAAGTCCATAAGCAGGTTGTTGCTGTAGTAACATACGCTGCTGTAAACCCATCATGCTCTGAAATATTCAAATAAACAGGCAAACAAACACAGAACCCATTTTTTTGTGGACCAAATAGCTCACCAAAATGTTCAACATAGATGGTTGTGGTCTAGGCATTCCCATAGACAGGCCAGCTGCCAGATTTATGTTTTCTTTTTGTTGGCTGAGCAAAGACGCCATGATCTGAAGTATGACATTTTTGTACTATTATGGGTTAAAAACGATATTCCGTGAAAGGACAGAAGCTCCCTACCTGTTGCTGCTGCAAAGCGATCGCTACATTTGCCATAGCATTCGGTTGCGTCAAAGACATCTATAAATACATTTTTTTACTCCAGATGGCCAAAAACTAACAGAATATTTTTCTCACCTGAGCAGCTAAAGCATTGGCTCCAGAAGTCGTCACAC